TCAAAACGTTGTAACGGACTTTTAGAAATATAATCGCAGTTTTTTTTTATTGTTACATAAAATGATTATCAGGATTTTGGCAACCGATCGTATTACTTTAAACTGTATAAAAAGCGATGTTACACAATTTTGTGTAACAACCAATTATACAAATGTCCGATATGCTGCATTAAAAGCTGAAACAAAAAAGGAAGTATTAGTTTCGAGAAGTGAAATAGAGACTACAAAAATGTTAAAGTCTAATTATAATAAAAAAAAAAGAAAGAGACATCAAGACTCTAGCTTAGAACGGTCAAGTTCTGAACAGGAATCAGATGATGTGAGGTAAAAGATGAATCTTACGGTTGCTTTAAATAAGACATAACATGATTTGACATTGATAATTTTAATTTTTTAAGGATTGTGAATCTAATACCATTGATAAAGATCATGATAATTCATCTGTTGCTCTACCAATCCTGAAACCGTCTGAAAAATCAAGCAAATTTGTGAATTTGCATCTAAAATTAAATTTGGAAAAGAATGTATATGAAAGTTACAGGGTGAATATTATCAAAGTGTATTATCAAACTTAACTAATCTTTAATTGAGCTTTCCCAATCTAAGCTGCTTTTTACGGACTTATTGAACGCTATACTCCCGTTGGAATTTAATATAAAAATCTTGATAAAAATATTAGAGCTGGAATTATCCGTAAGTTCAAGAAAGCTAATCCTCACTTTTCTGATTGTATCAGTGATTAGGCCTTAGTATATCTCATGCGTCGTAAAATAAATATTAATCATAAGTATTATACATGATGATGTTAGTCTTTTAGTATATTTTATTTAGTCAACTATATTTTATAGGAGAAAATGCTCGTCGTCAGGATAAGAAATGTTATATCAAAAATAAGTCAATTTTTTAAAGTATATAGATGTCTTATATAAATAAATAGAAAATTAATATGTATTATCATTATACTTTTGTATTATAGGTTCAGTCAATGGTGAGAAGCATAAAAGGACAAATCAATTAACTGTCAAAGGTGAGAAGTGCAGAAGGACAAATCAACTGATTATCAATGATGAGAAGCGTGAGAGGTCAAATCAACCGATTGTTAATGATGAGAAACGTGAAAGAAAGTGTACTCAAAAAAAGATGACTTCTACTAACTATTATTCTGAAAGTCATGAAGATTCTTATGGTAATGTTGATGATGAGCTTGATAAAATATCGAAAGATGATACACATTACTTATTATCTAATCCTATACCAATTTATTATTATAACACAGACTCAGAAAGTTCTAAGGATAATGTTGAAGAGAATAAAATGATGAATAGTGTCTCTTCACAAGGTGTGCTTACTTGTTTCTCAATCGTGTAATGCTAAAGAAAGATATACAAAAGGTAAAAAGCAAATCAATGAAAAATAAAAATTAATTTTTATATATTTCAAAAAAAGATCAGAGTCCAAAGATTATAATCTATCACTACCTGATTCAGATGACAAAGAATCAAAACCTCTTAAGAAAATTTGTATTTCTAATTTTGATAAGTTGACATTGCAAAAGACAACTGAATCATACAAAGCCAAATCATCGAAAAGATCGTTGAAACAAACTCTTGTGTCAGGTGATTTAACATATATTTATAAAATGTAATTATCTATTTTATTCGAAAACAAGTTATACCACTACTTGATTTTTATAATTATAGAGAAAGTGAAATAAAACTATAAAAAACTGTGCCTCATAGATCCCTTCGAAATAAGCGTTCAATTAATGATGTTGACAAAATTGGCAAAAGATAATAGGAAAAAATACAATCGCTTAATTTTAAAAATTCTATATTTGCATATTAGCATTGCTGTAATGTTATGTAAAACAAATTCGTAAAATGATTATAATATGTATAACAATTGTATAATAATATACATTCACAAATCGAATAAATATTATCCAAATAGAGATACATTCATAACATAAAGTAAACAAATATATGATCATAAATTATCCAAATAGGACTCATTTTTCCTTATATTTAACATTTATAATATAGTTATAATATGGTTATAATGTGGCTATAATGCGGTTATGATGTGTTAAACTTTTGTATATTTAATGATAAGTATACATAAATAAAATAGATAGTCAAATATTATACATTTTATGAACATGAAATTTTTATTGGGATGTAGTTAATCTTTTGATATTAGAATTATGTGTACATATTCATTAATATATTCTAAGTAAATTATCAACTATATGTGGCCTGCATACAATTGACAATGTACATAAATGCTATATTTTTTTTCTTCATAAACCATAACTAAGATCTACCTTTGTATGTCTAAGAAATTAATATACAGTAGTGTGCAAAAAAAATGAATTTTTTTTCGAAAAATGATCAACTGGCGTAACTTACCCAATTTTGGTCAGAATTACACAAATAAATATGCAAATGAAATCCTGACGATCCCTCTATCAACTTTTAGCGAAAACTTTCCCACACTTTAACAAAAATTTTATTTTATCGAATATCAAAACGACCTCATCAAAGCAAGAAACGTAACGACAGGCCATATTACATTTCTGGAAGCAAGGAATACGAGATGCTATTAAAATACAAAGTTTAACAAAGTTTCCAATTAGTACTATCCGCCGAAACCTTAAAAAAATCCAAGATACTGGGGATATAAAGCATAAAGATAGTAACAGACGTATTAAAAAAATAATGACAAATGCATCTCGGGCTATTGGACAATATATTTGAAGGCAACCTTCAATTTCTGTTAAGTCTGTTGCTGATAAATTACAAGATATAGGAGTAGATGTCTCCCACTCAACAGTTTCGAGACATTTGGTTGATCTTAGATATAAAAATGCACTTCCTCTTTGCACACCAATGCTAACTGAAGTCCATAAAAAAAACGAGTTGAATGGGCTCAAAAACATAAGGATGATGATTGGAAAACAACTCTATTTAGTAATGAAACATCTTTCCAATTATTTTGTAACACGATAAGGCAATGGTATAAAAATGCAAGGCCAATCTGTCCAATACTAAAAGACTGAAGTAAAATATTCGCCTGAGGTGGGTTTTGTATAAAGGGTACCAATAGTCTTTTTTGTTTTAGACGCATAATGAATGGAGAATTTTATACAGAAATATTGGATAAGCATCTCCCGGAAGTGCGCAATATGTTACAAGGTAATTGGCGGCTGCAACAAGATAACGATCCTAAGCATAGAAGTCTTATTGCTAAGGATTTCCTTGATAAAAATGTTCCAAATGTTATGGATTGGCCTTCTAATAGTCCAGACCTAAATCCTATTGAAAACCTTTGGGCAATTGTTAAAAGGAATGTGGAGTTGCGTAGGCCAAAAAATCTTAGTGAATTAGAGCGTTTATTGGAAGAGGAGTGGAGAAAAATTCAAAATAGTCTTCTAGTTAATCTTGTAAATTCAATGCTATTGAAAAAAATGGTGAATGAATATCATATTAATTTTTTTTTAATAAATTTACTACTTCTCAGCTTTAAAATAACACATTAAACATTTTAATTGACGTAATACTTGTGAACCTATCGTGATTTTAAAAAAGTTCATTTTTTTTGCACACCACTGTAGATAAGCTGGAATTTATCTATAAAAAAAATTGATACTTTCTTTGAATGTTATGATATATGCAAATATACATTTGACATCAATTCAAAAGAAAATATATTGAATTCTTTGTATTTATTAGCAATTCCTTTTTAATTATTATTAATAAACCTATTTTATAATATTGTTTTAATTCATTATATTGACTTAAAATCTCTGAAATGTAATCTCTAAAATATCTTTATGTTACCTTTGTATTTATTTTTATGCTTATTTAACATATTTTATATTAAGAATAAATCTTTAATGTTATTATGAATTTTCACTTGCGATTTTTTGAAAAATTGTTATAATATTATTTACCCTTATTATGATTTTAATTAAAGCTATGAAACTTTTATGATAATATACTAATATTATAGACATTAATAACATATTAAGTTGATCTTATTACATCACAAAAATTGATAAATAATCAATGTTATTAACATCTTTAACCTTTTTAACTTATTTAATATTTTTATATTATTTATATTTATCTTATATTTTATTATTATTATTTATTAAATTATTATCATAATTAAATTATATTTTATTTTTTGTATTTATTTTAACATTATAAATTAGTTTATATAAAGTAATATTAGATAGTAATTTTCTTATAATTATATTTTTGTATAAATAGAATAGAAAATTGTTCTTGTAAAAGGGTAGAGATAATAGTATAATTTAGTAGTTTAAGTTAAAGACTTAGAATCTAAGGTTAAGGATTGTTAAAAATACAATCTCTACAATAAAGAAATGTTTTTCTAAATTACATATATTAAAATCTTTTAACATATCAATCATGTTTATTATTCTTATAAATTGTTAAAATTATTTATTCATTTAAATTATAAATCTAAGTAGAACTTATTCTATAGTAACTTAGTAGTTTTTTATATATTATTAAGTTATCATTACCCTAAATTTGATAGACTGAATGTAGGATTAATAATATATAATAAAATATTTATTTTATAAAATAATAATTAATATATATTGATTAAATATTTTGATAAATTAATTATATTACTATTATATATTTAAATCTATTTTAATTTTTATCTTATAAAATTATATAATTTATATTTAGTTATATAGTATAAGACAAAAAAAAATGAAAAATTAGTTACATGATTTAAAATGATCTACTTTGCTAAAATATATTTAGTCTATATCACCTTAATATATAATAAATATTATGTTTATAGCAATGTGTGATAATCTTTGTATTGCTAATACCCCTTTATTTTATGAAAAAATTTCTACATAAAACTTTGCATAATGACAAAAACTTATAATAAAATCCTATTAAATTTGTGAAATAACAGTATATATAATACTAAAGAACTACATAAACTTACGAATATTTCACTATTCAAAATTTATAAAAAAATTAAAAAAATAAAAATAGTTTGTTAAAGCATGCTGGAGGAATAATTAACCTAAAAAAATTACTGTAAGTACTTCTTATGCATTTAATCAATATATAAGATACAATACTTCTCTTTCACAAGAACTTTGGCAAACAAGCTAAAAAATATAGATATAGAGTATTATATAGAACTGTTGAAAGACACCTTTAAGTATTAGTTATATATAAAGACTACTTAAAGTAATACTAATGTTAACTGAAATACACAAGTAAAAGTATATAGAGTGAATGTGAAAATATATTAATAACAGATGAAATAAAACTATATTTACTGATGAAACAGCTTTTCAACTATTTAGAAATATAGTGGAATAATAATATAAAAGGAAAGGCTAGTTTACATATGCCTAAAGATTATACAAAGATTATAATATAGAGTAATTTTTATTCAAAAAGAAAAATAGTTCTAACCTAAACCTGATCAAAAATTTATAAGCGATCATAAAAAGTAAGATAAAGAAATATATATCAAAAAATATTGGTAAACTGAAAGCAAAATATCTTCAAAACTGTTCTAATCAATCTTTTAAAGTTAATGAGATAACATTACGAATTAATTATTGAAAATAATAGTGAACATATACTATATTAATTTTTTTAATAAAGTTATTTGATCTTTAAGCTTAAAATAAAGTTAAATTCATTTGATTTATCATAATAATTGAATGCTTGATGATCAATTTTTTAATTCTCATTTTTTTTTATCTTATACTATATAATACATTTTTTTAACTTTTACTTTTATTATAAGTTAATATATACAAATAAATTCATTTTAAATTAACAATAAATCTAATATAATTAGATTTAAGAGAAATTTTTAAAAAATTATAACTTTAATAGATATATTATAATATAAATATTTCAAATAATATATTGAACTTGTTAAATATTTATTAAAATTTTATATTTGTCATAGATATCAAATTTAAATTAATAATTAAAATATTAAATATATTAAAAAAAGAATAATTAGTTTTATATTTTTATTGATCTAGCAATTTAATTTTTTATTTTAATAAAAACTTCAAATTTTATAATATTTAATAGAATTTAGTTAAAAATAAATTTAAATTAATTAAATAATAAAATTTATTAAAATAAAAATAATAAAATAACAAATAAAATTATAATAGAAAAAGAAAATTAAAGATAAATAATTATAAAATAAGAAAACATTTAACTATTTAAATATAAAAAGTATATATAGCTATTAAATAATTTTATATTATCAATTTTTGATAAAAAATAAAAAAGCACTAAAAGATCATATTATATAAAATAATTAAATATTATTAATCATATACTATAAAAATAAAATAATTAATAAATAAAATATTCAATTTTCAATAATTTTATTTTATTATTGTCTAAAAAAAAAAAGAAAAAAATTAATTTATTTTTTTAATTATTCAAATATTTTCTCATTTCTATAATGTAAGCTTATTTAATAATATTTTTATATTTTTATATATATTATTGTTTATTTTTATTTACAATTACAGCATATTAAACTAACTGTAAAGTTTGATAGAGATTTTATAATAATATGAGTTTGTATAGGTTCGTTTAACATTAAAAAATATTGTAAAATTAATAAAAGAATGAATAGAGAATTATATAGAGAAATTTTGGAAGATGAGTTTTTATGAACCCTTAACATGTGTAATTTAAATATTATTAAATGAAATAACTTTAGACTTAATAATATTTTGATAGAAATAGCATTATTAGAACTGTTTTGATGAGAGCTTTCCAACAAATATAAACTCAATCTGATTGATCTAATAGATAACGAGATATTAGCTAAGTATAATTCTATAGATTATTATTATATAAAATTATAATTCTTTAACGTGAATTAATGATCAACTAACTAAAATTATAAAAATGATGAAAATGATCATAATAATAAAAATAATAATAATGTTATTAACAAAGTTAAATATATTAATATAGCTAAAATATTTTATTTGGTTAAACTTGTTAATTAAGTTAACAATGTTTATAATATTTCTATAGTTTATTAAGTAATATTTTATCTTGATTTAGTAATAGAATTAGATCTAAAGTTTTATATAAATAGGATAGTAATTTCATATATTTTCGACAGTTAGTTTCAGTCAATTTTACAGTCAGTTTTAGTTAGTTATTAGATAGTTATTCTAATACAGTTTTATAATAGTTTAATTTATTGTTTACTCTTTAATTTTGTAAGTTTGCAAACAAGAGCTTATTGAAATTATTGAATGATATTGATCCCAATTTCTCTAATTAATAAAACTAACCTTTACTTTATAACTTTAATTAGTTAAATTCATAATATAAAACCCAATCTATCATTATTATTCTCTCATATAAACATATACATTAATTGTAGTGATTTACATTAATAATTCTATTAATGCGAATAAGACTCTAAAATTATTAATATAAATTGTTATCTTTTAGATACCTAAGACTTTGCTATATACATTGAAGTCTATTTTTCAGTTAGTAAACCTCACAATTGACTTATATAATAAATTTGATATGGGTTAAGTGAATACAAAAATTGAAATTTAAAAGAATTAAGAGAAATTAAAGAATTATAAATTAGAATTGATTGATATCTAAAATTAGAGCCAATCTTAAACCTCTTTATATACCTCAATTATTGCAATTGGAATTACAGTTAAGAACTTTGAAGAATTTACTTGAAAGCATTAGTAAAGATAAACTAGAATCTTTTATAATAATTCAGTGTATTCAAAAGAAAATTGATAATATTAAGGATTTTATTAGATTTCATAAATTGAGATTAACTATTGTCGAAGTACTTGAATATATAAATAACAAAATAATTAATGATAAATAGAAAGAAATATAATCAAAGAATTATTAGATATATTACAGTATACTTACAAGAAAAAAAATAAGAGATAATAAGTAATCCAGATCTATCTTATTTTAAGTGTTATCTGATAACAGAACAACCTTCAGAAGCATTTGAGAATTTTTAGTATTTTTGGATAGTTTATATAATAAAAGAAGAACAGTTTAATAGTATAACTATTAAAGCTTTTAAAAAGGTACTTACATTAGAAGAAAATTCAAAAGCATTAGAGAAGTGCTTTGAATTGGTTATATAATCAATTAGATATCAACCACTTATTTAAGAACTTTTAGAGGTATCACTTGCAGATTTAAAGAGTACTTAGAATAATTATCTAGCATTTGATTGCTAAGAATTTGAAATATCAATAAAATTAGAAAATAATTCTAAGGGTATTTCAAAGAAAACTTCTAGAAAAATATCTTGAAAGTCTTTAAACGTATTAAAGTTAGAAGGAGATACATTTAATATAGGTATTTTGACTCCTAGTAAATGGACACCTGAAAATTAAGCTAGTTCACAAAAAGAATAGATAGCAATCCTTAATAATATTCTTTCTGAGTATATATTTAAACAAAATATAAAGAAATAATTTCAAAAGAAAATAAATAAAATGCATAGAATGCAATAAAAAATGATTCAAAATATTTATCTGAAAGATACGCTCCTACTGATTAAGAAAAACTATATATTAAATACTATTACATAATGAACAAAAAGAGAAAAACAACTTATTAAAAGATTTAAACCTAGAGACTGATCTAGAAAATAAAGATCTATCTATTACAAAATATAATATCAGAATGATCAAGATGAGAAGAATAACAAATTAATATGAAATATTAGAGATACAACTTTCAGTTCAATTTAGAACCTTCAAAAAAGAAGAAGTATCTATTAAAACTCAACCAATGATAGAAGAGAAGATATTAATAAAAGAGAAGAACAAAGGAGAAAATGATATTATTGCACAATTCTTACAAGGTTTTAGAAATTTATTAAAGGTATATACAGTAGTTTTATATTTAATAATATATAAAACAAGGCTAGTAAATTTCCCAGAATTTAAAAGAGAAAATGAGAATTCAATTGAATGGTTAGAAGCTTTTGAATAAGTATGTAAAGTCAATAGAATTGCTAACAATCATATTCTTAATATATTGTCTAACTATTTAAAAGAAACAGCTCTTATATAATTCAGCAAAAGCAATATTATATACTAGAAAAATAACAAGTTGTAAAACAAATCCTTTATTTATCAATTCAAAGATCACTATTATAATATATTTAGAAAGCAATAGTGGAAATATCAACTGCTAAATCTTAAGCAAAAAAATGGAATAACTATTGATGAGTATGTTGCTCAAATCACAGAACTATGAAAAAGATTAGATTCACAAGAAGTAAAGCAGAAAGTTGACAAAATAGCAGAATTCATAGAAGGATTAAGACCAGAATTTATTGTCTCAATTTGATCTTCATTATCCAAAACAGTTAATAAAGCTATAAATAAAGCTTTAGCATTAGTAATAGTATATTTAATCAGAATGGAATTGTCTGCTTATTCGATAATACAAAATTATCTTTAAGGTATGAGTGGTAGATTTATTTTAGCTTGAACAAGTATAAACTACATTTCAACAAGTTTACTAATACAACAAAATGAATCAATGGAAAATATGATTGATCAAAAATTAGCTCAACTCATGTCAAAATTAGAAAATCAAAATAAATTGAATAATAATAATAATAGAAGTAATAATAGAGATATAAAGTCTTATCACAAGTGTAATAAAGTTGAACATATCGCAAGAGATTATAGATCAGGACAGTGAAGTAATAACAGTTATAATAATAATAGTTTTAATAATAATAACAATAATATCAATAGCAATAATAATTGTAATATAAAGGTATGTTACAATTGTAACAAAACTAGACACATTATAAGAAATTATCAGTTTAATCAAAATAACAATAATAATCAAAACAATAATAGAAATAGTAATTCTAATTATAACAATAGAAGTAGAAATAACTAATAATATAATAAGCAATCCTCAGGAGAAAATCAGCAAACAAACTTCTTCATTAATCATTTAAACTAGTAGATACACATTTAGGAGATAAGAGTACAAATAATCTAAATCTTTTAAGAAAATAAATAAAATGTAATGATCTATTAGAAGAAATTAGAGAATTTAAAAAGAAAGATTATGAAGATAAATATTATAGTTAACAAGCTTTCAGATGACAATAAATTAGTTAAATATTGGTATATATTTCAAGAATATAATACTTCATGTTTGATTTGTGATTTCGATAATGTTGACAATCATAATCACATGATCATAAGAATAAAGAATCTTGAAATTCAAAAGATTTTGAAGCAGTGAGATAATAGAAAGCCTATTAGACCTAAAAGTAATAAGTCTAGCAAATCTAATAATTTAGTTTATGTAATAAATATTATTTATAATGATGGAATTTTTCTATCAAAAAGGATAAATAAAAATAAGAAAATATATAACTTCTAGTAGATTTCTAAAAGAAAAGTTGAAGAAAATGAGTATTCCATTAAAGTAATAATTAGAAAAACAGAAGAGGAGATAGACATAGCAAGCATTTCCCTAATGAAATCCTTTCTTTCCTCATAAGTGAAACACTAATATCGATCAAAAGTTTAGATTTATCACTTTTACAATAGTATTGTGATAATGAAAGCAAAGTGCAGAAGAAATTTATAGAGTTTTTCGACTCCTTAAAAGAACAAACTTGATACAGTATTATTGATATGTCATCATCTAATTGGCTCAAAGATCCAATCAGAAAGATCAATATTTTGATTGTAGATGGATCACAAGTTCTTTAAGCTCATCTTGTATTCACAATTGAGATTAAATATTCATTATATAATATTACGCTATATCATGAGGTTGTTGGACAATTGGTGGATCGATTTCAAACAGTTTTTCAAATGCAACCTGGCCGACCATTTATTATCAGTGTTGTTTATTATGACAAGCTCATAGAATTCATAATTAATCATTAAAAATGATATATCAAAACTTATTTTTAATAATCCTGAGTTCAATTGCAATATTTACATCATTAAAGTAAATATGAATATAGCCCTTAGAAACACAGAACTAGATAAACAAAGCTTATATATCCTAAACACTTTTGAAGAATATAAGAGGAAATGTAAAAAAAAGAAAATGACCTTAACACATATTAAATACTTTCAGAAAATATTAGAAAACTTAGAAATAATTAGGATAATCACTCAAGCTCAATAGAAAGAACATAAACCCTAAGATGCTTAGTTTGCTGAAGCTGAAGTTTTTAAAAGAAAAATTAATATAATAATTGATACAGGAATTATAGGATGTATTATTACTAAAAACCTTTTAGATTCTGTATATAAGAATATTGAAATGTATAAATAATTAGCATTATATGAGCAAGAATAGTATCTTTAGGAAAAATGTAAAAAGTAAATGTAAAAAATAAGAAAGTTTAAAATCAAAAAGGATATGATAATTACTGAATATTCTAAATACAATATTTTATTTAAAAATGATTAGATAACTATGCATGCAAAAGTTGTTATTACAGTCAGGAAATTTACTAAATAAGGAAACGCGTTCTAGAATGTTCTATATAAAATTCTTGAAATTTGATTGGCTGTTACATGCATATGATTGATGTTCATTTCTTCTTTTTCTGAATTTTTGTTGTGGCTTAGATAACATATAGATAGATAGCAAAAGAGTTCTATTCATAATCAATAAAAATCAATTGAGATTAACTCTTTATAAAAAGTAAATGAGACCTTAAAATAAGAAATTTTTGTGCATTTTGTTAATTGAAATGAAAGTATATAGCATATTTTTTTGGTAACTAATTTAGCATTTTAAAATATTTTTTTTGTAGTGTCTGCTTACCAAAGGCCAAAAACAAGAGACCTTCCATGTATTTTCATAACTTTAGTTGATAATTATCGTATAATTGAATTAAAAATCTGTGAAATGAAGGAATCACAAGCTTGGCAGCATGCTAGTACCCAAGAAGTAGCTAAGCAGCTTGCACAATACCGTAATTATATTCCTTGCTGACTTTTATTCTTCTTTAAAGTCTTATTTGATTTGTGAAAGGCATTATAATCAAATCATTTTCACTAATCAATTTTATAATCATCTTACAGATTCTAATCAAGAAAACAAGCGACTTTGATTAGATACTGATGAAGATAGTAGTATTGATCATCCTAATATTATAGCTGAGTTTGAAAAGACTAAAAGTCTTCTAGAAGCTAGTCAGCAGAATATTTAGCAAAAGTCACAATTAATAATTGAGCTCAACAATCAAATCGTATGTATGCAAAAGTATTTAGAAGATTAAAAAAATGAAATAGAGAAGTTAAGACAAAAAATACAAAGGGCTCATGATTATGTAATTAAGACTCAAAGTTTATATGAGAAACAATGTAAAAAGAATGATGATCTTGTCAAATGATAGGATTCGCAATTTGATAATCAGCAAAAGTGCATTGATGCAATTATTGAGATAGCGAAGGCAGAACGTGAGGCATTATTCGATAACATAGAATTATTGATTAGAGATAACAGTAGGTTTACGGTAGAAAGTCTTACAGTATATTCTTCTTATGAATGGCTCAATAAGCGTAATTAGGTCATTGTTAAATTTATCGAAATGCTGATTCAAAATAGTCGAGAGATTGATGATCTGAGTTACGAAAAGCTCTTCAAAATTGCCATTGCAGTTGATGCAATATACAGAGCTTGACATGGAAGATATATATCGGAAATCCATCTTGCTGCTTTAGCTGTTAAGTATTCTATTGCACGATCGAAGAAGATTATTAGCATTAACAATTACATTACTAGTTTCAGAAGCTACTATCGATTTCAAAAGTGGTTAGAAGAATTATCTGTGCATGAAGAAAAATTGCCTGAAGGTCTTCTATTTCTTGAATTTGATAATGAACAAAGGGGACAAAAAAATTACCTTGATCGGGGATTTAACACAATGATTTTTCATATCGTTACTAATTTGTTGCTTTTAATATGGGATCACAAAATAAAATTCAAAGTACTAACTCATTTTGGCTACATTCTTCTTTAAACAGATTGCAATACGAAAAACTTTTCGATGTCAACCCTTTAATGCAAAAAGTTATTGACAAAGAATTGCATACTTACCTTTCCAAAATTCTTAAATTATTGTATGAAGAAAAATTGGCTTTCATTAATACTATCAATTCTCTTATAGTAACAATGATCAACATTATCGCTATGAAAGAGTGTCTTAATTGCAATCAAAAAAATATCGAGAATCAAAAGCAAACATGTCTGAAATGCAAAGAACGATTGCTAACATTAGCTGAAATCCAAAATGAAAAGGCAGTTGAAAATAGCGTGATTGATCAGCAAAGCAAGCTGTTTATTTTTAAACCCTATAGCATTAGTAATGAATCGAGTAGCGTTTCTATTCCCAGGATAAGTTTTACTCAATGGCCAATTATTGAACAAGGAGTTAATACTCCTGAGATCTATATTTCCGATCTGATCAATATTAATCCTAATTCAATTATAAATGTTAAAAAGGTTCTTCTTCATATAGAAACGATATCTGGTATTAAGGATGGAAGTCGTAAGTGGGTTGCAGTAACCTGTGATAGTGTCCTATACCATCATGCTATCAAGTTTAAAGAGAAATTCCCTTGGTTGGTTCTTATACCAGGGCAGTTACATGAGGAGATGAACATACTTCGAGTATATGTCGAGTTAAATTAGTAAATTTATTTTTTATTAAAATAGCATAATTTTTTATTAATAAATTTTATTTTCTATATTAATAATTAGGGAAATATACTTGAAGGAATTTGCATTTTGTCAAGGTTATTGAACAGAAAATCAGCTTGGGTATTTTAAAAAGTGTATAGATTATCATAAGTCTTGGGATTCTATCTGTGACATATATCGTCAGGTAATAGTAATGGAGCTCATATGGCCATATGTAAAAAGCCATATCTTGCCTGAGTTAAAGAACAACAAGACTCACTCTATCAGATAAAATATGAGCAAACATTTGTTTATCTTCAGGCAATCATCAATTACCAGAAAGCTATAAGAACCAATAACCCATTTTTAAAGAGAGCCGCTAGAAGAACATTTTCTCTGATTTGGTCTGCAAGATGACATTCGATTTATTACTTAATAGAGGTTGCTGATGAAATTCAATTGATGCAGCTTCATCCGGAAGTATGTGAGACTATAGAGAAGAATTGTATCATTTCTAAATCAGGCATTTACGAACAATACCAAGGATTAGATGCAATTATTGAGAAAGTAAATAAGGCTTTGAAAGTTTTAATACCTCCTGTTCTACAGTATCATTATTGGAAAGTTGCTGCATATAATTACAAAAGGTTTTTTGAGTTTAGAGATAATCTATTTAAATTAATCGGTTATAATAATCTTTAAACATCTGGACTAAGAACTCGTTCAGAGTCTACTATGGAATGCCAAAGATTTCAGATTCATTTAAGAAGTTTTGAATTTACCAATCTAATAAATGCGAGATCAGTTTGTCAAAATCTAGGAGAACATCACGAATTGAATGAACACTTAAAAAACTTTACACATTTAGCAAAGCAGGCTCGGCAAAATTTTATTATTAAAGTATTTATTAACAAAAATTCACCTCCTTTTTTTAGACCAATACCAATTACAAAACAAGAAGCGGATGCACAAGAAAACAAAGAAAACATGAACAGAGCTGAACTCATATTGAAAATCGAAACTCTCCTTGAATATTGTGAGAATGCTCAGAAAGAATACCCTAGACTGAAATCAAAAAAATGAAGCGAACTATTAAATATATTACAAGATATAAAGCATACATTCAAATCACATAATTAATTTAACAACTAACAATAATTTTTTTTCTCATTCTCTAATAGAAATTTCCCCATAGCAATTTCTCTAACAGTATTTCTCCAATAGTATTTTACACCAATGGCACTTTACACCAACAGCATTTCACACCAATAGCAGCAATTTCTCTGACGGTATTTTTCCAAATAATGATTTCTCTGGCGATATGTTTTCAACAATTTTTTGACTACTCCGACAGCAATTTTTCTGATAGAAATTTCTTCACAACAATAATTTATCCAACAGTAAATTTATTCAAAATCTGCTTTTTGAACGTCTATTTCTTTAACGATTTGCTTGTGTTATAAATAACTTTGGCCAACCTGTTAAAAAGTCACTTCTTGGTGAAACAGATATTAGAAAAGTTACTTTTTATTGTATATATGTTATAAATTTTATTAGTATTAAATATAGATACAATAAATATTTTAAAACTTTTTAATTCTGTAATTTTGACCAATCATAATTGAAGTATTCTAAAATATTCTGATTAGCAAATTTATTATTATAATAGAAAATGATCATCATAATATATTTGGTAAATTCTCTGACTGTATTGATACGAGTAAACAAATTATACAATTAAACAAAACAATGAAATTAATATAGTTCTAATTATATATTTTTCTAAAATTAATCCAAAATTGTTTACATCTATAGATTTTATTGAAGAAGAATAAGATGAATTAGAATTTAAAGAAATATATGAGAACCCTTAATATTATTTTTTGATAATAATATAACTATTATCAATAGTCAACAGTATCTAACTAAATTTTTAGAATTAGTAGACTTGAATTTCTTAAAACTAATAAGTATTGTAAAAAACCAGGATGATACTTGTGTAAAACATTATCAAAAAGAGAAAATTATTCATATTGTAAAGTATTGCATCAAAATTTACAGGAATATCAAATGGTTGTTTTAATTAATAAAGCACAAATTTAAATAAGTGATAAATTAGTGAAAATAACAAAAAGGAAAAAAATACTAACTTAATGAAAGATCAGCAGTAGTAGTAATAACAGTTGTTAGAAGAAAATAAAGATCTATTTACTAATGAAAAATCAGAGTTAATACAAACTAACATCTTTTAACATATAATTATTACGAAGATATGCATCTAATAAAAAGAAGACCATATGCAATATCTCTAAAGAAAAAAGAATAGATAGCATCAAAAATAGAAGAAATGTTAGAATAAGAAGTAATTAGACCATCAAATAGCCCTTAGTCTATACTAATAGTTTTAGTAAAAAAGAAAAATGATCAGATATATATGTATATTAATTATAAAGAACTTAATACAATCACAAGAAAAAATAATTATTTACTAT